TTCTTCCTAAGGCCAAATGAAAGGAGATTGTTTTAAATTTTCGCTAGCCTCATCACCTTTCTCCAACCAGAGAGAGAAAGGATTTATAGATTCATATCAGCTAAAAATCGCATATTGATGACCTGGTCTTACGGGATAATACCGAGCCTTGTGAAGAGATTCTCTACTACTCGATTTTGCGTCACGCAAGTGGTATCGAAGGAAGTTATGGAATTCCATAGCGAGCCAGCCACGTTGCTAAATAAACGTTAGGCGGAGTTTTCACTCCGAAAACGCATCAAATGTTTTCCGTCCACCTACACCGGAGAAATTTTGAAAACGCAACTATGACCGGCGTCAGAGAACCTTGAGTGTCGAGTGCACTCTCCAGGATTAAGGTTAATCACATGATAATCAAGACGGTTTCTCGTTTTCAAAAATTCTCCGTTTACGACATGCTTTCCGTCCATAATAAAGCGCAAATCCAGCGTTTTCAAATTCGTCCTGTTTGAGGAACGTTTTCGATAAGCTCCGTTTTAGTGACGGATTAGTCAGTGGACGGTCGACCTAACCGTAGAAATAAAGCTGCGCTTTCAAATTTCTCCTGCGTAGTGTGGACGGGGCAAATTGGCAGCTTAGCAATGCCTAATGGTACTTTTCCTTAGGTCCTCTGCAAATGAAAGCAATGACGTCAACTGACCAGAGTTTGCATAATTGAGCGTGAAATACAACGGTTGATAATTTTTTTATATTAAGTTGGGAGTTCTAAAGGTGACAGATTCACAACGATTACACCCTTTTTTTATAAGAATACATTTTATAAGAATATTGAGGCTGAAATTGACGAAATTTTAAGGACATTTTAAAGATAAACCCAAGGCTGAGATTTTGAATAGCATATAATTTGTAAATACAATACAATTATATGTTTTTAACTTAACCGTATAAAATTCTCTTTTTTTCCCCTCTCTAAACGGCAAAGCTGGCCAAAAAGAACAAAATCACAACTAGCCGTATGTCCCAAGAAGTTATATGCGTCACATCAGGCTTCAATGCCTGCAGCTGGCTCTAAAATTACTTTAGCACCGCAGACAACAAATACATTTGAAAACAGAACTGCCATGCGCTTTAATCTAAGAATATTCACAAGAATATTTTCAGCCAAAAAACGGCCGAAAAATAACAATATTCAGCCTCCGCTCGAAAAACAATATTCTTATAAAAAAAAAAGAATGTATTGCGAATTTCTGTTGTTGTTTGTTTTGTTTACTTTGTCCCCAGCGTTAATTGTCTTTCATTAATGTTTTAAGGTTTGGCTAACCATAGCGGTTAGTCTGCTACGGATCATCCTACTCCGTTGGTTGATCCAAATGTTCCTCTGGTAATTTTGAGCTTGCATCTGTCTTGAGATAATCGATATCGGCGTAGACAGTTGGAAACTCTCTTTTAACTGGTCCCGTGTTGCTTGTTGTGGAGTGGTTTAGGTCGGCGTACACAAGACCACGATAAGGGGAAGGCTTCTGTGTATAAAGCAAAATTTTAATTATTGGCAAGGAAAGATTAGCCATGGAAAATATATGAGGAATAAAAAAAAAAAGAGTAGGAAAAAAAAAAA